AGAGAAGCCATATAAAATAAAATGACCTGATAGACAGGGCGCAGCTAACAGTTGTAGTGATAGTAATGAAGTTTGGATGTTACTGCCCCTTGTGGTAATGATATATTGTAAAAAAGTAGTAGGTACTTACAAAGTTTTTCAATAAGTTTTGGTAATTTGGGGCTGAGCGCTTCCCCTAAATTTTTAACACGTGCTCTTCGGATAAGTTAGGTATGTAAGCAAAGGAAGAAAAGACAGCGCTGCATACTTGTAAAGCGAGGCAAAAACTAAGCCAAAACATGCTCAACTTATGGTAAGAACACGTAGCACGCACTCACGTACACATATGCCTCTAAAATCATTTGCAACCAACGAAATGGTTTTAGTTAAAATCTATGCGTCCAGCAGTGAAATTTTACGGATGATTGCGTGTGACGAAATTGTGCATTTAATGTAAGTAGTTAGTAGTAAGTTTTATACGTGGTTGAGTCATGCAGCGGCTACATTTGTAGTATAGTTGTAGCACGAATGGGCCGGCTCGACCGGGGAAGGATCATGCTATCAAAGAATACCAGCCATATGATACCAGCGTAAAATAGCAGCTTACACTGTTGTTTCGTAAGTGTAGAGAACCACTCTTTTTACTGGAAAAGAGGCATTCCATCTTAGTCCTCACGGCTGACAACGCATCTGCATTTTGATTCGCAAACGAGGATAGATGTAGATGTCTATGGGCCACAACAACCACTTGCCATCAGGTGGACTGTGTGCTCGTTTGTCACCCTATCCTATAAAAAAAGTGAGCGAGGCAGCTAGCTATATCATACTTATTTATTATATAAGCTATATAAATAATTTATATAACTTAACCTTATTGTACTGCCAATCGCCGGTTTGATTTCTGTACAGAACAGGTATTTTTATGATCTATAAGTAGGTACATATAGATGATATATTTGAAGAATGATCACTTATTTCCCCTAGACCGTAAATGAATGACCAGAATCGGACGCCCATTTTGCTGGTAAAGATTCAATAGTACTCCTCAGGAACAACACATCTGCATTCAGATCTTTAATCAAATCTTCAATTTTAACGTGGTAGAATCTGCAATTATGGGTTGTTATTATTCTAATCCAGCGCTTCACCCACCTTTCCCACCTGATGATCCGATGGTGAAGCCTATTGATTTTACAAAAGCCTTGAACCTTGAAGACACCCACATTGTAATCGGATGAAAGGACAGATGTTGGCTACTAAACCCACTCCCTTACTTTGCTGCAAGCACGACAAACTATTGAGAAAACCGTTAGGTTCTAAAGGTTGCAGCATGAATGAGTCGGTTCGAACGAAGATGGTCTATGCTCTCACAGAATACCCCTAATAAAGAAGCAGCTTAATGCTGTTGTTTCTTGTGTAGAGGGTGGGAGACCCCTTTTTACTGATATCAAGGCATACTGCCTTAGACCTCAGGGGTAACATCGCATCTACATTTTGATACGTAATCAAGGGTAGATGTAGGGTATCTATGGGCAACACGCTTACCGACAGGTGGACTGCGATCATTTGTCATCCGTACTTGTCGAAATTAAACTTCAGAATGAAATTAACATAATATATAATTGTATACTAAATACAAATTTATATCTATCACGAAGCGGCTTCCTTAATTTGAATAATATATACAAAACTCTACTGAAAGTACAGACAGAGTAAATACTAATTCAGCCAGGTGAAACAGTGAATATTTTCACGTTTTCTAGGTGACGTTTCAAGTCATTCATAGCTCAAAATGTTAAAATAAATTCCTCCTGGTTTTATTACAATTTCCTAGGCTTCTATCCTCAAATAGTTTGTCACTCTGTCCATACTCCCATTGGTCCAAGTAATTATATTTACAATTGAGCTGCATTTTATGTAAAAATAATCCTCGACGCCTAACCTAAGGAAACTCTTTTCTTAACTAGCTTAATTTTCTTTCTAAAACTTGATATTGACACTTAATGTAGAAACATTGTTTCAATGAGGAGCTAATCATCTTACGCTCACCAGATGTCGCTAGTTGGGATTGAGATGAAAGTATTTGTTGCGCATATGATCATCATACAGTGTCATCATCATTCTAAAGTTGCTATTTTAAATAAAGGCTTTTCAGTTTCTAATGTATGTCTCAGTGCTGTGTACTTTAATTATTCGTCTACTTTTAAGAATATCCGTTGTTCGGTTTATCCATTTCTAATCTAATTTATATAAAATGTATCTAATATTTCAGAAAGAAACATTAAACTACACTTTTCTAATTAACTTCCTCCACTATGAGAGCTGTCAAATATTTCAACCCATTCTCTTGTGGCGCCGCTCTGGTGGCAAAAAAGTAGAGGATGCCTTCGTTCGATTAATTTGTTCAATTCATACCAAGTTTTACAATGTTATACAGTAGACTTAATGTAACACTCAAGCAACGGAGGTTGCTTACTAATAAAATTTGTCTTTATATTTACATTTTAAATTATTTTTAACGTTAACTACTCGATTCTGGAGCTCATATGGATAATCTTATAATAAACTTTGATGTAACAAACTTAAAATGTATTTAAGTATAAATTACAGAACTGTTAATAAATGTGCAGTTAATATATTTTTTTAATTAAGTCGACAATACTTTGCTGTGAATTTTGTTAATAAGTTACTTGAAAAAAATTTAGCTGAACAAAAGACTTGTAAATAGATTCCTTTCTTGTTCTTTATTAAAAACTAAGTAAGTTTTCGGAATGCTAAATATGAAATTACAAAAATGCCAAAAAATCCTACATCCATACTTCTAGCTTATGTTTTTTAGCGCCATAAACATTTCACAACAACCAAAGATGGATACAAAAATAATTAACTTCGTAGAAGTATTTATTCCTCAAGTGAAATGTTTTATTAATTCAGTCACTTCTAAACATTTGTCTGATTCATTTAAACTGCAACTGAGAGAGAAGTAAGAAATACATATTTTTAGATTAATGAACAGAAATTATAATTTAGTATAGTATATAAACTAATTATACTCTTTGTACAAACCTAAGTGACTTACGGATATAACATAACTAAATTTAATAAATCTAAACTAACTTAATAATGAAAAAACAAACTTGAAATGACCATTGATGTAAATAAATGCTGTAAACTTGTGAATCTGTTTGTCTTTTGTTATATATATTATAGTATACTTATTTTCTTAATTCCAGAAATAGAGTGCAAACATTGCAACATCGTTTAAAATAAAAATCATATGTTGTAAAAATAAAATAGGAAACACATCAATCCTATATTTTATTAGTTTTAAAAATTACAACTAAGAAGAGTTATATACAGAGGAGCTATTTTGTAACACAATTTTGTTTGGCACGACGTCTGGTCGCTGGCGATGACTCTGTAATGTAAATGGTCAGATTTGTCAGTAAAACCATAATAGAAGGTTATTTGCACGCATTCACCAGTTCTTCGTAATGTCACAAACACTAAAAATCACAGTTTTATCACAAATGTTTAGTTCTGGGTCCTGTGTGATTGTCTCGTAATGTTCACTAACGAGCGGACGATTATGCTTCTTTTCTGTGTTGGCTATAATTGTTCAAAATTTATCTAAATAAACTTATTTACTACATCTGAACATATTCTCATTAATATTGGCCTAGATTAAAGACACTGCTGTAATTAAGCAAGGATTGCTGTAAATGAGTAGAGAAAGTTGCAGGCTGGACAATTACAACAATAGTCGTAATGGATAAGATGAAAATCAAAATGTTTCCCCAATAGACCCTTTGCATTTCTGCATAAATAGTTTAATTTCATAATACCAGTATAAACCTGTGAAAAAAATCAAAAATTACACAAAAGAGAGAAAAAGGCATAAACTCACCGCTCTTGTCTTGGGCAAATCTTAACGCAGGCCCTTAGGTAGCTTTGCAGCAGCAACATCTATTGTAGTGAAACCAGAATCAACACATTAGAAATTTTGTCAAAAAAACTCCCTTTACAACCCAAGTATGAAACATACTGACAAAAAATATAAACATGCAAATTGATTATTTAATTTTCATAAATGCAATTTGTGATATAATATTACAAAAATGCAGCATAAAAATGTACTATTATGTAGGTAACACTGAAAACTTTAATTGTCAGATATTTTTTGTTTCAAATATTTAAGGATATGTAGCAGAAATATTATTGCCAAGAAATAGGTTAGTTTATTGCAGGGTTTTATCATATCTAATAATGTAATTTGTTTCAAGATAGCCATGTGATAATTGTTGAACAATGTGTATTATGTAATATTTACTTAAGTACAAATTTTCTGCAAATTTCAAAAGAGGTGGAGGTTCAATTTGTATTACAACAAAGTCCCTGGGATCAAGAGCTCTCTACATATTACCAAGTTTAAATATTTTTTTAAACAGGAACTGCTAAAAGGGGTTATTATAATATAAATGATTACATGGTTGATAATTACAAAAAATACACTATATCTTTGCACAGATTTCAATAGCTAATAAGTGGAAATAATTTTATTGTTTACAGTTCTCCGAAGTCCGCTTTTAATTTTTAATAAGTCAATTTTTTAATAAAGCCCAGTCAGTTCATCATCAGATCATAATATGTCAGTTTATTTATTTATTTGCCTGATTTTAAATTGTAAATTTGCTGATAATTTTTTTATAAATGAAAATAATTGTTGATGCTTTTTGTTTCAAAAAAAGGTTTTCTCAAAGGAACTTCTCTAATAATCAATATCATTATTGATAACTATCAATATAATAGATAATTATCCTTTCATACCCTGATTTACCATTTGTAGTACTAACTTAATAAGAGATACATATAAAAATGTGTTTCCATTTATTTTGATAAGACAAAATATAAATCTTCTGCAACTTGTAGCAACTTTTATCTATATAATGACAGATTTCACTGACCTGCATCCAACCTGTGAAAAAAGGTGATATATAAAAATAAAAAAGTAACAAACTCACCTAATTGTTTCCCTCCTCTTGACCGACAACTTCTTTATATCGAGCAATCATCAATTTCTTAACTGTGTCTCTGTATGTCTCTCCAGGAGTTGGTGTGTAAACACCCCTTTTTTGTCCCAGTCCTGCTAAAGTAGGCCTTTGTTGTGCTTCAATGGGTGCTATTCTACCTTGTTCCTCCTTTCCTAGGCCTCGACCTTCTGACCAGCCCATCTTTTGTAACATTTTACCTCCAATTGTATCAACTACAGATGGAGGGGGATGTGACATGACAGGAGGTTGTGGCACATCAGTGGGATCAAAACGCTTTCTGATTGGTGGGGGATCATCCTCTCCAAACTTCATTCTTCTCTCTGCTGCTCTGTCTCTATATCCATTTGTCTGTGGTAATAGTTCATTCTTTTTACGGTATTCAGCCAAATTTTGCTTGTGTAAATCTGATAATGTTTTGTGTTTAGTTAGGACATCAGCAGATGGAAATTTTCGTTTACAAATGAGACAAGTTAACTTGGCCCAATCAATAATTCCCTCGTCACTCTCAAACATTCCAGGTTCTGTCCTCTTAACAAGGAAATCATCAGTAGATATTGGGGGAGGTGATAATTCTCTCACATGAGTTACGGATGGACCTGCTCCTAGCACAGAGAAGCCAATATCGGCTGAGCCTTTACTGGCAGATGTGTCCAAGGGTTGCTCCATTACAATGTTGCTCCTGGCATTCTCTTTCTTTTGATTCAGTGTCCGTGCCCATCTCTCCATATCCTTTGCAATCTTTTTAGCAACCTTCACTTTGTCCTCTTTATCTTTCTTTTTCTTTTCTTCTGGTTCCTTGATAATTGTATTTTCAGTAGTTGCCTCTGGTGGACTGGGGAGCTTGGGCTGATCTGTGTTCTGTTGACTCTGTGTTGCTGCTATGTATGTGGAGGTTGTAGCATCCCAATACATATAAACTCTTAATTGGCTATTGTAGAAGTACTGAGTTGCCCCATCGTAGTATAAGCCAGTAGCAGGGTCGTAATAGTAACCAGAAGTCTCATCGTACATGAACGTCCTCACATCAGGTGGGCTGAATACTGTCTTTCCATCACCAGTAGGTGTTTTACCTGAAGGATTTATTTGTGAATTTGAGGAGACAAAAACTGGAACAGAAACAGGCACCCAGGCCATTTGACGTGCTTGAGCAGCATTTATAGCAGACTGAGCTACCGCAGCAGCTGCATTAACCCTATCAGATTCGGACAAAACTTGAGAAGAACAGTAATTAGCCATTTGACCATAATAGCTTGACAAGTCTGTTGAATTAAATGAGATAGATTTCTGTGGTTTAGGTGGTTCATTATAGAAAGTAATGAGGACTTCTCGGCCATCTATTTCAAGAGGTGGGTTAAGGGACATAAGCTCCATGTGAGCAGCAGTAGACTGGGAGATGGAGTTGAAGTTTATGTAAGCAAGGCATTTAGATGCACCAGTCAAAGTCTCCCGACCTATTGTTATACCTGCTATAGAATCTAACACTTGTTTTGAGCATCTCTCTTTTAATGCTTCTAAAATCTTCTCTTCTGTTGTCAATGCATCTAAACGCCTGAAAAGTAGTCTCTTTGTTATACCTGAATTATTTTCAGAGGCATTTCCTCTCTCAGAGTCGAGGCCTAGGACGGTACCTTCAGATCGTTTTCCTTGACAGTTGCGCCTATAGCAGATTTGTCGACGCTTAAAATTGTAGGAGCCACATTTACAAAACCAATCTCCTGCAGAGGCATTAACAGTTAGATTTTCCTCATGTCTGTCTCGACCAGAATCGTATTTGTTATCATAGCTGTCGACATGGGAGTCCTGTCGGTCCCTGCTTCCAGAACGGCTACTAGACCGAGAATCAACATTTCTGTCAGACTCGCCGCTGATTTTCGGCGGGGACGGTGCATTTGGCAAGTCTCTATCGTCGAACCTTCGGGGTGACCTGCGACGGTCGCGATCCCTATCGCGCTTGTCGTAACGTTCCCGACCACGGAAGCGGTCCGCGTCGCGGTCGTAGCGATCGCGGCGATCTCGCTCGCGGTCACGATCATATCGCTCGCGGTGGCGATCTCGTTGCGGTGATTGCCGTGGACTAACGCTGCGCCGGGGCTCCCATACAGGAGACCGGGGGCGATTCTCCCAACGGTTGTCCTGCTCGCCCCAGCGCGAGCCTCGCTCATCCCTGCGCCACGACATCGCTGCCTGCGAACATCATCCACATTGTGAAATAAATGTACTCACATACCCGATGCCGCAGACCCATCCTCGATGCAGCCCAAGTACCGACGAACAATTTTCGAACAATGATTTTTCTCTTCACACTCTACTGTTTACCTGTGAAACTCGGGTTCAATGTACTTTCGATCCTTTACACTGACTGTTATTGATAAGCACAAAACTAAACAATTAACTGTAGCGTAATTTATAAGCTAATTCTAATTTAAAATTTAATCATAGAAAATGAGAGTACGCATTGCAAAGATACCACGCCATATTTTTTTCCTTTACAAAAAATTAACACATAGACAATCAGTGTTGCCACTTGCCATCTTGTAGAAAAATTGATTACTAGTAGGGAGTACCCCAGATTTTGGGATATTTTTAATTAAAAAAATCCGTAGAATTCACAAAATGAAATCACAAAGTAGGTAATAAAAATACTATTTAATTGTGGAAATAATGACAATAAACATAACATGTAAAATCGAGACAGCATCCTGGTCACAGTTTTTTCAACGGACAGCCAACGAATATCACAAGGGCGCAATATTTTTAAAGTATTAACGCTACAATTTATTGTCTCATATAAATCATCTTTATACTCATTAAAACGTCTCGGTGAATATTAGAGCTAATTATAGGTTTCTCTAATGAGAAGCTCTATATTTCGCGGTAACGTTTGCTCTCATACATGTGAAACAGCTAATTGCAATGAGTGGCAAACACATGTGACTAGAATTTAATTAGGTACGCGTACGAAATTATTGATTGACATCATCCATTCCAATCAAGCATTTTAATTAGAAGACCATCTTACCTCTCATTATTCATATATCAATCTTTCAGTATTCAACACTCACTGAAACAAACTAGTGTGAGGTTCTCATTATTAGTCGGGAAAACCCCAAGGTAGATTTAGCATAACCAAACAAAGACGTCCAAATACTTTTTTGTAATGTGAGAAAAGGATAGTGCTTTTCGACAAAGATTGGGGAATTTACCAACAGGTAAAGATTTAAAATTCAAGATTTGATAAATATCATCAAAAGTTATCAAATAATTCTTTGGTGATTTTTTTTTCGGAATATCACTATATATCTCCAAAAATTCACTAAATCTAGTGACAAAATCACTAAAGTGGCAACGCTGTAGACAATAGACGAATGAGGGCATCCACGACTTTTTCTGCCACCAGGGCGGCGCCACTTTAGAGTAAGGTAAAATATTTGACAGATTTCATAGCGGGGATGATAATTTCTTAGGAAAATGTAATCTTTAAGGTTTCTTTATGTATTATTAGTTATATTTTATATTAATTACATTAGAAATGAATAAACCAAACTATAAATATAACTAAAAGACGACTGTTTTAAAAAAAAGAGTTATAATGTGCAAAAAATTAAAAATCAAACCACTGACGCATTGTGTTGTGTATTAATATAATACTCTAGATAATGATAAACTATTATTTAAAACTAATTTCTCAATTAACTGACATTGTGTAACAAAAAATTTTACCTCAGTCACAACTAGCGACATCTGGTGAGTGGAAGATTATTAGCCCTCATTGATGTTGGATGACTTGGATGCAAATGGAAAACCGAAAACGGAAAATTATCACATTTAGTTTATATCATTATAACAAAAGAAAAATAACAAAATGAATTTTTTTCTACTTCCATTTCTTAAAAATATAAAAGACTCAACTTCATAATAAAAAAAAGGAAACACGTGTTTATGAGTATACACTAAAAGCGCCATGGTGGGCGCTCATAGAAAACTTTTTTGGCGGGAATTTCAAACCTTGTATTCTGTAACTTTTAAACTTTTGTTTTGTTTATTTAAGGCAAATTTGAGTAATTTTGGCTCGAGCTTCACAAACCTATTGAGTGAATTCCCATATAATTGAGAGGTTGCACCAAAATTACTCGAATTTAATTTAGAGGAATATGTGGGATAAAATAAAACTAAAAATAGGTATGGTTATGTAATTTTATTTTTTGGAAAAGATTGTTTTATACACTACATTATTATTGTGTTTATATTGCTTTTGCAGATCACTCGTAATATTGATTTATAACATTACGACAAAAGTTATTCTTCAATGAAAATTAACGTAAATTTAAATCAGCAAAATTATCATGGTGAAAACATAACTCAGCCCAAATACGTAATCTGAAACAGATAAAATTCGAGTTAATATAGTAATAATCCCTATAAATAACATACAATAAATTGAAAATGCTTAAAGACTTACCACAATATTGTCATAAGATTTTTCTTCTTCCCCTGTAGGAAACATGCAGAAAGTGATCAGATGATTTTGTGCTTTTTGTTTGCACAACGCTTAATTTACTTTCGATTCTGATCACAAATCGTGCATAAAATTTTTATAGTCACTTTGTTGTTGACATTTCACAAAAAATCTTTACACACACAATCGCTAAGAAATTTCTACAAACGAAAATGAAGTATTCAGAACCGATAATTACTGAATTTAAGCAAAACGTAATAACTTATATTAAAATCTAAACCTGTTAAATAAATTTTAATCAATTTCAGAAAATATTTGGAAGTTATTGGAAGTAAAGACTAGAAATGAATTGGGAGGGGGGGGGGGGGTTGGCTCGAACTTTAGGAATAGTCAGTTTGAATGGCCTATCATGTAGAGAATGTCATGGGGGTCCTGATTGAATAGGGGCAAAAAGTTCTCATTACACTTCTAGTGAGTCAAAATGGCGAAAAACCAAAATTCTTATTTGGGATAAAACTCCGCCTCCTTCGGAGGTTCTTATACAGTCTTTACTTCCTTTCTTCTTTTAATTCATGACTTCTTTTGATAGAACTCTGCTTATATTCAATTTTAATCAATTAATAGGTGAATTAATTGTGCAAATCTCAGAGTAATATGTATGTAATTATGCTCTAATGAGCAACGAAAAAAAAAGAACACATAATTAACATTTTCAGTTTCTTCCAATATATGTATTTTTGTATCTAATTTTTTAAATGGCAATCTGAAACAGCGATATAAACAGCGATATCTTTTTCTCGCTTTAATTTTAGACGCCCAATCCACATATAGATATAATTATGATTGTGTGCAAGTTTCTCGCATTAAAACTGGTGAAAACTAATAATAATAATGTCCTCTAGACCGAATTTCGGTCACGGCGGCCAGTCTCGACGGAGACTAGCCAAGTGTATGCGCAAGCACAGGTGCACTCTCTATTCCCTCACTCTCTTAGTCCGATGGGACGGTAAGCCAACACGCCCGGAGAGAGATCAGGCGCAGGACCAATGGCTTTTCGTGCTTTCCGAGGCACGGGGGTGAGACACCGCCAACTTCCTGACTCAGGGCAGCTTCTGAGAATTTCTTGATAGAGTAACTCAGTAACCGATTTTTTCGGCCGGACCCGGGATTCGAACCTGGGACCTCATGATCAACAGTCGCATCAACGAGGCAGTCTAATACTAAGCGTGCAGGTAAAGAATCGGATTGAACATTGCGTCACCTCTATTCACCTCCCGCTCGCACACTGTCGCTGTTTATACTCACATCCGCCGATAAAAACTGTGCAAAAAAAAAACGTTGCGATATTCGTTTTTCAATAATTGAATGAGTCTATGAATCAATGTAGCAAAATGCCATTAACTAAAAAAAAATCACTCCGGTTGTGCTAATTTGTGAGCTAGACGCGTTCTGAAAGTTTTATTGAATGTTAATTTTCTACCGACTTAAAAAGGAGGAGGTACTTAATTCGACTGTATGTTTTTTATGTGTGTTACCTCATAACTTTTTTCTGGGTAAACAGATTTCGATGATTCTTTTTTTTTATCTGAAAGTAGGTGCTTCTCGTGTTTCTTTTATAGGATAGGGTAACAAGCAAGCACACAGTCCACCTGATGGTAAGTGGTTGCTGTGACCCATAGACATCTACATCTATCCTCGTTTGCGAATCAAAATGTAGATGCGTTGTCACCCGTGAGGACTAAGATGGAATGCCTCTTTTCCAGTAAGAAGGGTCTCCGGTTCTCTACACTCACCATACGAAACACAGCAGCGTTAAGCTGCTATTTTACGCTGTTACTCTGTGAGAGTGTGGGCCTTCCCCGGTCGAGCCGACCCATTCGTACTACAACTATACTACTAATATAGCTGCAGCATGGCTCTACCACGTATTAAAATCTCGTGTGGTACTCAAAAACTATTGGCCAGACTTTGATCAAATTTGTTCAAAGTCTGACCAATAGTTTTTGAGTTTATAATTTATATTGAAGTCGGTACAAAATTTTTAATTTTAAATTATGTTTGTAAATATTTTTGTATGAAGTATACACATGTCGTTGAGACATGAGCAAGAGCAACCATTTTGAAAATTTTCGTTTGTCTGTCTGTAGGCGCTAATCACACGAATGGCTGAACTGATTGTAATAAAACTTCACGAATAAATAGAGAGATACGAGGAGTGATTTAGAAAAATTATAATTTTGATTAAATTAAATTATTAATTAAATTAAATTTAAATCAATAAATAAAATTGAAGCTTTTTACTTAAGGCATACGAAAGCTGTCAAAATTTTCGTCTGTCTGTCTGTTTGTTCCGCTTAATCTCCATAATGGCTGGACCGATCTTGACGGTATTTTCACTGGCCGATAGTTAATGTGAGTAACTTAGGCTACTTTAATTTTTAAAAAAGTATTAGTATTCGTGCAAAAAAATTATTAAAACCCTAAATTACACGCGGGCGAAGTCGCGAACAAACAGATAGACAGACAGACGGACAGACAGACAGACAGACAAAAACTTTAAAAATTGTATTTTTGTTATTAGTACCGTATATACTTTCATATGAATTTAGTAAAAAGCCGTAATTTTAACATTACAAACAGACACTTCAATTTTATTTATTTGTATAGATTAATTTATCTGTGTACTTGGGTACCTTACCACAATTCTTTTCAAATATTTTGC